AATAATAATAATAATAATAATAATAATAATAATAATAATAATAATAATAATAAACCAGTTGGCATTTCCTATGTGTGGTTAGAGTTAGGGGCCCTTTCTTCAATGCTATCTTTATTATATAGTAACCTTTTCCTTTTACCCCATCTTCCTGTTTTTACTTCAGGCAGGAAGTTAAGAGGAAAAGCTTTCTATTTTGTCAGTGGCAAAGTATTCTGTGAGGAAGACTTTTTGGTGAGTATATTATGCAGACTGCATAGGCAGGGCTCCCTAGGGCAGGCTCCTGAGAGGGCTGGAAACTGTTTTTCTGCACTCCTGGCCATTCCTTCCTCATGGACGCCTGGCTAACCTGATTCTTGGAAGAGAAGACAAGCCACAGCTTTATGCCTGTGTGCATGTGCCTCTCCCCCAGCACGTGTGTGTGTGCGTGTGTGTGTGCGCGCGCGCGCATTCGTGTACATGTGTGTCAGCGTGCATGTGCTTGTCAAGCTCCAGCCCTGCCTCCAGTTTAGTAAATCTGAGGTGGGACCCATAAACTTACATTTGTTTCAAGTTTGCAAGTCTTAAGGATCTTGTGATTCAAAGATTCTCTGGGAGTGTTTGAGACGGGGATTAAAGTCTCTGTGTTAGTTTGTCACATGAAGCCTGACACAGAGACCGGCCCAGATGCAGCTGCTAGAATGGGGAGCCCAGCACTGTGCAGACTCAGCACACAGCTGCACACCCTCAGGGGGATCACACATTTCTCAGAAGTCCATCATGCTCTCTGTTGTGGGGAGGTAGCTGACTCGCCTTTTCTCTCTCTCTCTTTCTCAACAGTACTCTGGCTTTCAGCAGTCTGCAGATAGGTGCTTTCTTTGTGGACATCTGATCATGGACATGGTGAGTATTCAGCAAGATCATAGCACCTTGGAAGGAGGCTAAAAAATTAACAATTGAACACAATGTTTTCTTTCTGGTTGTGGTCACTGCTAGTTATATTTAAGTCCTTGCACAGTGCAGCCACTTCTAATAGAAGCTGCCATTGGCTCAACCACTGCAATCTTAAGTGTGCACACTGCAGTGACTGCTCACACTGGCTGAACTCTGGTTTCTCTGTGATCCTCGCCTTTCCCAATGAGGTGCTAGGACCAGCTCATTTTACTTTCAGAAATCTCAGCCACCTGGTTATCAGGTGCAGTCAGATGAATGCAGTTGTTTTTTACTTCCAACACAAACCATTCCTAAGAAAGCTTTTGGCATCCATACAGACAGGGCCCAGGCATGGCCCACTGTGCTCAGCCAGTGGCTCTTCTAGGTAGTCTGAGTCTTTGTTTCATAAGTGAGAATAAGGTTCCCTGTGGAATCAGGTACTAAGTTAATGAATCTTTTGTCATCGGACACTGGCCTTTAAGAATTTAAGAGCTAAGCTGGGTGGTGGTGGCACATGCCTTTAATTCCAGCATTTGGAAGGCAGAAGTAGGTAAGTCTCCGAGTTCAAGACTAGCCTGGTCTACAGAGCTCCAGGATGGTCGGAGCCACACAGAGAAACCTGTCTCAAAAAAAAAAAAAGGAGGAGGAGGAGGAGGAGGAGGAGGAGGAGGAGAAGAAGAAGAAGAAGAAGAAGAAGAAGAAGAAGAAGAATGGCATTATGAGATTCATTGTTCCTTCTATTTTTTTTTTTTAATTTCTGTTGTATGTCATATGAATTTGGGTGTTTGCCATATTTGAGCTACCTGTGCACAAAGCTTTCACCATTTCAGAGCACTCTTGTTCATATGGTTTTTGTTTTGTTTTGAGATGGTCTCAGACTTTCTCAGTGGTTGAGATTACCTTAAATTTCTGATTTTTCCACCTCTGCCTCAGAGTGGTAGGATTACAGGTGTGAATCACCACTGGCTGTATGTGGTGCTATTTTTTTGTTTGTTTTAATTTTTTGAAACAAGGTCTCACTATGTCGCCTTGGCTTTGCTATGTAGACCAGCTTGGCTCAAACTTATAGAGATATACCTGTCTCTGTTTTCTCAGAGCTGGGATTAAAGAAACGTTCCACAATGCCTGGCCTAGTGCTAGGTATTGAACTCTGAACCTCATGCATGCTAGGCAAGATCTCTGCTAACTGAGCTACACTCTCAGTCCTTGTACGTGTCTTTAATGGATGTGCTTTATTTCTGGTTCTATACTAACATTTACAAAGCAAGAGTGAACAGAACAACTGCTGTCATCTAGGCCTGGAATACAACAGAGCTCAGCCCTAGGACAGCTGTGGCCGAGCTACTAGCCAAAGCCTCCAAGAGCCTAAACTTTCATTATGGTAAAAAGACACCATGACTAAGTTAACTTATAGAAGAAACACTCTAGTGGGGCCTGACAACCCTAGAGGGTGAGTTCATAACTATCTTGGCAAGAAGCACAGCAGGCAGGCATGGCACTGGAGCAGTAACTAAGAGCTTATATCCTTGTCTAAAAGTAGGAGGCAGAAGAGCTAACTGGGGATGATCTGGGCTTTTAACTCCTTAAAGACCCAGTGACACACCTCCTAAATCCTCCCAAAACATCCTTCCAAAACAGTTCCATCAACTAGGGACCATGTATTCAAATATATGAGCCTATGAGGCCCATTCTAATTCACACTACCATATTGAGCAATGTAGCTTTTTGCCACATATTACCTGTGTGTGTGCACGTGCGGGTGTACAGCCATATCTCTTCACCTGTTTAAGACTGATGTGACACCAAGCTTTAAAAAAGAACTCTCATCTATTGCCAAGAATTCTAAAAATGAAGAGTCCTTTTAAAAATACATATATTTTAAATATTTTTCTTTTTTAAAAATTATGTGTATGCATGTGCGTTTGTGGAGTGGTATGAACATCTGAATTTGGTTGTCCTTGTATGTGTGTGTGTGTGTGTGTGTGTGTGTGTGTGTCTGTTTGTATGTGCACATGTATTTGAGTGCCCATAGAGGACAGAGGAAGGTGTCAGGACCCCTGGAACTGGAGTTCCAGTGTCTGTGAGTCACCAGTTGTGGGTTCTGGAAACTGAACTCAGGTCCTCTGTCTTATCTGATGAGCAGACTCTCTTACCTCAGAAAGACTCTAGCCAACACCCACTTACTCTGTAGCAGAGCATGCTGTCCAACTGAATAAGCTGTCTGTTTGAAAACACTGTGTTAATAAAGGGGTATCTTCTGAAATAAATCTTATTCCTCAATGCTAGAATTTAAGAATCTAGCCAGGATGTAGCAAAATGGCATTTTCTATCATATTGACTTGAGGCGCAGTGAAGATTAACTTAATCTAAGGATCTCTTTCTGCCTTTAAGAGGACATGCATTCCCATTGCCAACTAGACTTTGGGAGTTGTTCCTCCGTGGCAGTGTGCTGCAGTGGAGAGGGCCTTTAGAGGTAGTAAAACCCAGTAGAGAACGAGGAAGTGTGAGATCCAGTCTGGGGTAGCAGATTAGTCGCCCTATGCTACAGTTGTTTACTCAGACTGTGGAAGGACCTGGGTCGTAGCATCTCCTCCACAGTCTCACAGTGTCCTGCAGAGCTTTCGGAAGTTCCAGGTCCCCTTCCTTAGGCCTGTTTGAAGGCTTTCTTCTTGGCTTAATACCCGCTATTGGTGACTGCCCGGTGTGTTCCCTGCAGACTGGTGTTGGGTGCTCCTGTTCATGGTGATGTCACAGTTCTGTTACTTTTGCTATTTCATGGCCCAGGTAATTGCAGAAGTAAATCTCCCACTGAATCAGCAAATATGCTTTCAACTACAAATGACAGAGGTCTCTGACTCTAATAGTATGTGTCTAATTATCTTAAGCCATCAGCTGTTAAACATCATCCAGGTGATTCTGAATAAGGAGATCTGGGGTGGGGACTGGGAATGTGTGTTTTTGTTTTTGTTTTGTCTGTTTACCAAGTTCCCAGGTAGTACTAAAAGTTGCAGATTGAGGGGCTGCACTTTGAGATGAGGACTTCACAGCCATACCTAACAACATTGTGACCCATTGACTTCACCAAAGATATGCTGTTCTTCTTGTTTCTTTTCCTTTCTTCTATTTTTCCCTTTCTTCATAATGCCTCTCCTTCTTCCTTTTCTCCCTCTCCCCTCCCTACCCTCTCCTCATTCTTTCTTCCCTCCCTTACTCTCCCCTCTTCCCCCACTCTCTTAAACCTCCTCCCCTCTCTCCTCCTCCCTGTCTCCCTCCCTGATCCTCTTCTCTTCTCTTTGCTCTCCTCCCCTCCCCTCTCCTTCATAACCCCTCTCATCTCCTTCCCCTTCCCTTTCTCTCTTCTTTCCCCTCTCTTCTCTCCTTTCCCCTCCTCTCTCCTCAATTCCCTCTTTGTTCTCCTTTCCCGTCACCCTCCCTTTTCTCTCTCCTCTCCTCCCCTTCTTTCCCCACTCCTCTCCTTCTTTCCTTTCCTCATTTCTGTTTGCCTCCTCTCCTCCCTGTTTCTTGGTTGTTTTTGTTTTGAAAGGGCCCTAGTAGTTCAAGTTACCACATCTAAATCAAATGACATTTAGAGCAAGGAGGCCTTTGGGGCTTTCCCTTCATTGTATTTTAAAAACGACAACAGAGACATTTGTCTATTTTATTTGGATTTGAGATGATCAGGGCTCCAGCCATGCTTCTAGGTTGTCACGCTGCAGAATCAAAGCCGAATGGAAGGGATCTTAGGATGTGAGAAGGTTTTGTTTAAGTTCTAGCTCCATCTGGAATTTGCTTTCATTCTTTTATATACCTGCTGCTTTCCATATCAGGGGTAGATGCTTTTGTGACCAGATTTAACTGGTTTATTGCTTTTTCCCAAGGTTCTGGTCCCAGGACAGGCTTAGCCTTTCCTAGCATTGCTATAAAGAAGGGTTAGAGTCTCTTTATTTCCTCCCAGTCAGTAACTGAGAGTTTGCATAGGTCCCTGTTTGATCCTCTCCTGTTGATGTGTCTAAGCAGACTAGCCCTCTCTTGACCTTTGTCCAGGTTAAACTCTGAGCTGGGTGGAGCCTCTGCCAATATGTTCCTCTTTCTCCATGTCCCTTCCTTCCTTTCATCTTCATGAAGTTTTCTTTGTGTCCTCAGATCCTGCAGGCCCTAGGGAAGTCCTATCACCCTGGCTGTTTCCGCTGTGTCATCTGTAATGAATGTCTGGATGGGGTGCCTTTCACTGTGGACTCAGAAAACAAGATCTACTGTGTCCGAGATTATCACAAGTAAGGAGAGGAGGAGTTAGATGACAACCTGTGCCCAGGCCCCACTGAGCTCAGCAGAATGGAAAGTATGTAGAAATTGTTTAAAAACCTGTTTAGTGATAGAGCAGAACACAAAATGGTAATCAGAGGAATCCGACCGCCCATATCTCCAGCTTTAACTAATTTCACCAGGCACCAAGTCAGTCTTAGCACCTACCATGCTCTCTACTTGTCAGACCAGCCCAGCTAGCCATGAAGGGAGCAAACAAGCTTCTTATTCCTAGGGGAGCAGGAGGTAGCCAGATGTCCCTGTAGCAGCCAGCAATAATGTTCATATTAAAGAGAGTGATCCTAGCTCCACATAAGCCTGAGGGCTGGCTCCCGGCAGGCCCTGGTTGCCATTTCTGTGCTGGTAACAACACAGCTGTGTGCTATGTTCCCCCTTTGTTTCTCCCCAGAGTGCTGGCCCCGAAGTGTGCAGCCTGTGGACTTCCCATTCTTCCCCCAGAGGTAAGATGCTTTTCTAGATCTGCCCTAGGTATCTAAAGACTGGGCTCTCTTCCTTGAGTCACTCAGATGTGTAATCTGTTCTTAAACCTTTCAGCACACCCTTCTAATGCCCGACACTGTCTCTTTCTCCTGGGCTGGCTTCCTAGCCCCATGTCCTTCTTATGCCTATTTGTCCCAATAGCCAGATCAAGCTGTCTTAGATTAACAGAGGGCAGAAAGCTTTTCTTCCTTTATTCATCTTTAAAAATAAATACCTGTGAACCCTGCCTCAGTGAATAAAATAGAGGCTTTCATATGCATGCACATACCATGTGCCTGTCTACATCAAAGGCGTGTACACACGTGTGTGCCTGCCTACATATGGCCATCTGTATATTACACATGCAAAAAATTATAAAATTAAACAAAATGTTCCCACTCGTCCTTTTTTCAGTGTTGTCTTCGGCATCCCAAAGATCACCCTGCCCCATCTGCTCTCACACCCATGGAATTCTTGTTTCTACAAGTGTTTAATATTGACCGTTAGTTGATTTATATTCCTCCTCCAAGGCCTCCTGTTGTTCCCCCACAGTCTCTTCCCACCCTGCCCCATTGTTGGTTGTATTTGCTTTTCTTTTGTCCCAGGGCTCAGATGAGACCATCCGTGTTGTGTCTATGGACAGAGACTACCACGTGGAGTGCTACCACTGTGAGGTAGGCGCCTCCCTGCTAAGGCCTAACACCTACTCCAGAAGGCCTCCTAGGGCTTGGGACTGAGGTGACCGAGAGACCAAGTTTTCTCTGAGGTCTGTCCGCAAGAGCTGATTGTATGGGGGTGATAACAGAGCTTGGTGTGATGGTCTGTGCCATTTTTTACAAATTCAAAATGAGAAAGTTCTGAAGCTTCCAACTGCTACCCTGAAGCTGCAGAGCTCAGAGCATTGTGTATACTGGGCCTCAGAGTCTCTGTCACTTAAGTGTGTGATGAGGGTTGAGGGAGGAGGTGTCCTTCCCTCCTGGGTGCAGAATGTTCTGTCTGAAGTAAGCCCTGGAAATCATGGAGAACCCCCTTTTGGAGACAGGCACATCATTTAGTGGGTAGCAAGGTGTCAGGGGGCTTCTCTTTTCTGACCAACATTGAAGAAACCATAGTCCCTTATGACTGCCAGAAAAGCCAGCAGTCACTACACCAATCTTCAATACATACTGAGTATGCATAGAAATAGACAAGACTCACTTGTGATCTTGGAGGTAGGGAGAGCAAAGAGTATGGGTTCCATGAAGATCGATCTCACAGCCAGCACTGAGGAAGCAAGTGGGCATCATGGCTGACATCATGAGCCAGAAGATATTTATGACCCTGGATGGCCACTAAAAATAGAAGTGCCTTGCCAGGCGGCGGTGGTGCACGCCTTTGATCGCAGCACTTGGAGAGGCAGAGGCAGGTGGATCTCTTAAATTCAAGGCCAGCCTGGTCTGCAGAATGAGTTCCAGGACAGCCAGGGATGTCTTGAAAAACAAACAAACAGAACAACAAAATACAAGGGCCACAATTGAAATTGTGTGTGTCCTTCCTGTTTTTTAGTAGCCACATTCGGTAGAGTGCTTGCCTATGATGCAGAGAGTCCTGGGCTCAGTATGAAGCATCACAAGAGCTATGAGTGGTAATGCACACCTGTAATCTCAGCACTTACCATGCTGAGGCAGGAAGATCAAAAGTGACTACAGAGCATATCTGGCCTGGCTACATGAAACACTATCTCAAAAGAGGGGAGATGTGTGGGGTTAATTAACCAACCCAAAAGATGCACAATATTATCATTTCAACTAGTAGTCCATATAAAAAATATTCATGTTATTTTTCTATCTTCTTTGAGTCATGGAAGCCTGTTATGTATTTGTTCTGACGCTACATCTTAGTTTCAACCAATCCCATTTGAAGAGCTTCATGGTGGCAGGTAGCCATTGGTTCTTTCACTGGACAGGAGCTGCCCACAACCACACAGCAACCTTTGCTGATTGGGTGAATTGTGGTTTCATGTTGCTCTTGCAGTCTCTTTTGTCTTCATGGAACATGCTTGCTTCCTTGTAGGACTGTGGTCTGGAGCTCAATGATGAGGATGGCCGCCGCTGCTACCCACTGGAGGACCACCTGTTCTGTCACTCCTGCCATGTCAAGAGACTGGAGGAAGGGCCCTCACCTGCAGCCCTCCCCCAGCACCACTTCTAGCCAGAGACACAGTGGGGATGCGGGCCAGGGCTGCCCAGGGAGCTCTCTGTGCAGCACTCTGGGCCCCCAGAGCTGGTACACAGGAAGAAGAGGGCCAGGAGGTCAAGTTCCTGTGTGTGTGTGAAGGGTAGCTTTCCTTTAACCACAGCAGTGTGCACGTCCCATCCAGCCCATGTATTTTTCAAGTGCTTTTCCCCATTACCACACCCTCGCCAAATCACTCAGGAAGATGTCCTAGCTCAAACATGGCACACAACACTTGTGTAACTGTGTAACTGTAAATGTGTAACTGGACACATTCTACTCCCTGGAAAAAGTTCATGTTTCATGGGGACAGGTTTTCAGATCCTATTGAGCACACTTCACAGTGTCCTTAAAGAGAAACAGTGATGGAGGTGAGCAGCACTTCCTTCCCCTAGGAAAAGGCCTGCACCCAGATGACTCTCACACAGCCTATGGCGTGCTTTCACAGTCTCCACCTCAGAGCTTTAGCTCTTCTAGAGTGCTGAGACTCTTAACTGCGTTGCAGCAAGAAAGAAGCATTGCAATACTTTGTATCCTTGGAGATTGCTTGGCAAACCAGAGCCGAGCTTAGATGTCTGGGCGGCCGGGTCTCCCTCTTGTGCCTTTCCTCCCAGCAGAGCTGTGGCAGAGGCCTGCCCCTCCTACTCCATCAGCTTTGAGAGAACTGGTGCAGGCACCAGGCTTCTTGTCCACTGCTTGGTGCTGTTTTCCTCATTGCTTCCTCCAGTCTGTGGCATTGGAGTTGTTTTCTCAAGGTGACCTCAGAGTCATCCTGACCCTGACACCTTTTTTAGCTTATTTGCGCATGACCTTTGGGAATCACAGTCCATGTCTTGGGAGAGAGCTCCTTCTGAAAGGAAAATTTCTGTGTATGAAATCTCAGAGCTAGCACCAGAAGGAGTGCCAAAGAGGTTGCCAAGCTGTTTCAGAGGTATCTCTCTTGCCCACTTCTCAGCAGAGACATGCATTCGGTTTGAAGAAACCAATATAAGGTACACTGTTTTGTCTCTTTTTTCCTCATTACTTCTCTCTACTTTTTTCTACACACAAAACATACCTCACAGATAAATAGTTTTCACCAGATCACAGATCAAAGAGGAATTAACACATCATATTGGAGACTGTTGGTGTGTTAGCTGTGGCCAGTCTCCCGCTCTTGACTGCAGCTAAGCAGTTGCAAAGCAAGGTCATCTGAGACCAGATGCAACTGAAATCATCACTCTGGCCCCATGGACCTCTACGCAGTAGCTCCTAGGGTAGCTGGGCTAAGAGAGAGATCACATGCTGACAAAAATATCAAGACCACGTCCGAGCTGGGTATGTGGGCACACCTGTCCTCTTAATATTTGAGAGGCTAAAGTTTGTGAAGTAGGAGTTTAAGGCAGTTCTCAACTACAGGAGGCTCTGACCCATGTAAAAAATTAAAATTAAAAAAAAAGAAAGAGAAAGAAAAAACAACAAAAACCTACCCAGCACTGAAGAACATAATTAACTCTTCCTATCACTTCCTGAGGCCAAAGCTCATTGCCTCCTTGGTAGTTCCAATGGGTAAAACTGGAAAAACAAAAAACAAAATGGGTTTCTATCTGCCCTCTTATCTTCAGGGAGTGCCGCCTGGCTTGTGGCAGGAAGTCGGGCTGGGTACCAGCAACTGGCCTAGGCGATGGAGCATGGTCAGTAGAGCTTGCCGCACATGAGTGTGGACCCCTGACTGGGCCCTGGCTTTACCTGTGGGCTGTTTAATCCTGCTGGCCTCCATTACCTGTGAGAAGGTCAGAATTAGCACTGTGGACCAGGACCATCTTTTTCATTTTTATAAGGTTCATTCTGTTGGGATCCTTGGCCAGAGGTACTTCTTTGTTTCCTATTCTAGAGCCCCCTTTAAAAACCTATGAATACATGGGGCTATGGAGCTAGACCCCAAGGCCAGTCCTGTTTCTTCCCTTCAAGTTATCTAGCTTGGCTTTGGCAAGGCTGGCAGGGAAAGAAAATGAGCCAGTATGTCTTTGCCATGTTTGATGTTCTGGTCTAGTCTTAATTTTAAGTCAAGATGATTGAAGAAAATTGCAGTGGAATCCATGTCAGACGTAGAAGGGATTTGTTTGCAAATTAAATAATTTAAAACTCTGATTAATTTTTTGAATGAAATTCCTGATGGAGGTGATTCAGATGTGTTTGCAAATACTACATTTTATATTATTGAAAAGAACAATAAAGGAATTTACAGACTTCCCAGAACCCCCAGGACTGTTTTCTCTGGCTGTTTTCTGGAGAAGGCACCACTAGGGGTCTCATATTTCTTGTTTCTCTCCATCTCAGGCCTGTGCACTAACAAGAAGACATGTTCACTTCTCTGGGATTTTACATGTACTATAAATTTTGGCCAGATAGAGCTGTAAGGAGATTATACTTATGGGCATATAGGAAGAAAACAGAGGGACTGGGGAGGGACTGTTTTAAAAATTAAAACAAATAGCTTTTTCAAGATTCCTGTACAACTCTTGTACATTGGATAAAACAAAGGAGGTGACAGATGATCCAGGGCTAGCCTCTGCCATCACCTTCCTCATTCTGTCGTGTAGGTTTCAGAAGAACTGCCAGCCTTAACAGAGTTATTGGCTACATGTTAAGCAAGACAGGACTTTCCATTCCCCTGGCTAGTGCCTCAGTGAACCACCTTTCAGCTGAGTCTTGTGAGGGTCCATGTTGAATCTGAGGTGGCTGACAGAAGAATAAAATGTTCTGAACACCCTCAGGTACTGCTGTGGCTTTGTTTGCATGGCCTTCTGTCATACAGAACACAGAACAGGATTGTTTAAGAAGATTCAGAACCAGCCCTTTGCAGACATTACTGTTCTGTAATACCTTTTTCTCACTTAGTAAAAGTGCTGTCGACCAGTTAGATCCCTTTCAAAGAATAGTGTGAGACTTGACTCCAAACTATGCTTGCACAATATACTTGTAAAAACCCAGGAAGGGAGATCTCAGTCAGCCAAGTGCTTCCATGAGGACTTCAGTTTGGTTCACCAGATGCAGTGGTGTGCTCTTTTAATACAGTTCTGGGGCTTGATGGCTAACTAGTTGAGCCCAATTAGTGAGCACTAGGTTGCAAGACCTTGTTTCCAAGGAGGTGGAAACCTGAGGTTGTCCTTTGGGTTCCACATGCCTACATGCCTACACATACATGGGCACACACATTAAGAAAACTTCCAAGAGACCAATTTATTTATTATTTTTTTTTTTTTGGTATTTTTCTTTGCCAAGAATCGGGCCTAATTTTATTCTCGGCTAGCGCCTGAAGTAATTTTAACAGAAAAGAGTAAATAAAATGTACTAAGCTATATTTTGTTCTGGGTACAAACAGGACAGATGGGACTCATCTCTCCAGTGTGTATGAAAATGTCACTGCATAGGGATATAATTTTCTTCTATCTCTTACAAAAAAATTATTGAAAGTTTCACTCTTACATAAAATTATTCCAGGTGGTGTGACAATAAAGCTACATGAGTTTGTAGGCTATGACAGTTTCTCTTCTTGGCGGTTAGGGAGTATTTTGTGTCTAGGGTAAACAGACAGTATTTTTGCTGGTACGTAGCTGAGACTGGCCTTGAACTTATGATCCACCTGCCTCTACTTCATATGCTGAGAATACAGGTGTGCACCATCATGCCTAGCATGGAGCTCTAAAATCCATGGGTATTGTATTAGTTTTGCATTGCTGTGGCCAAATTGCTGACAGAAACAAAGGAGGATTTATTTTGGCTCATGGTTTCAGGAGACTTAAGTCTGTCATAGCAGGGAGGCATGATGGAACAGCTTCATTCTTGGCAAAGGGGGCATGAAACAGCAGTTTTTAGTGTCATGGTAGACCAGGAAGCAGAGCAAGTAGACCAGAACCAGATGTCATGCCATAACCTTTTTAAAGGCTCCATAGCCTTTCAAAATAGCACCATCGGCTGGAACAAGCAATCACAACATGAGCCTTCGTTGTTTCAGAGTAAAATCACAGCTGGAGTTAAATGGGAAACATCTGGGATTTTGCTCTTTGTGGGGCTCTGCTGAATAAGGTTGAAGTCGCCTCCAGATAGCCAATTATTTGCACTTGGTCTATGATAGACTCCCTTTTCTCAGTTCTGAAAGTCTCCCCTGATCTGGGTAACCTCAGGTCTTGTATGGAGCTAAAGAGCATCACATAGCCCTCAAGACAGATTATAGCCAGACCCTTCCTTGATAAGGAAACTGCTCTAGCATCTAGGAATTCCTAAAATTCCCCACCTTGTTAAGGATCTTAGTCCAGCAGTGACCTTCAGTTGTACTTGGAGATTCCCCTACCCAATAGGATTACTGTATTTTCCTTCATGTGATAGGACCCCTGTCCCCAGCGAATCAAACACATTCACCTTCAAAATCCCTTCCTCTGCCCAGGGTTTATATTGCCCTTGATTTCAAAGAATAAAGGTACGATTCAACATGGCTGAGACTCATCTATTTGGAGGGAAGAATCACAGCTGAATACCTGAACTTGGGCTGCCTGTCTGGACAACTCCCTGGCCACCGCCATAAGTTCCTTAACTACCTGAGACTTGATTGCCTGTGCTGCCAGCTGCAGCGGTCAGCAGCTGTTGACTTGTGTCTCACCGGATCTGCCTTCAGGTTGGTCTTTGGCCTTTGTGGTGCTCAGCACAGCAGCTCAGCCAAGAGCTGTAACTCTGGTATTGCCATAGGCTCTGGGACGCCCCAGATTCCATTGCCACTGGGGATCTCATTCTAAAAGAGCTTAAATTGTAACACTCAGCACATTCAGACCTCAACCTAAAGGCTCTAGCTGCCCCTAAGAGAAACCAAACCCCTGGTTCTCCATCCAGAGGCCAAGCTCCAGGACCCCCCTCAGAATGGAGAACGCCAGCTCTTAAGTATTGGCTTGTAAATTAGCATGCTGTGGTTTCATAGACCCTGGCAGCAGTTAGGGAACTCAGGTAGACAAAGAGCAGCTTTTTGCTAGTAATAACAGTAGCAGGCAGACTGTCAGCATTTCCACTGGTTCTCTGAAGAGAGCCAGTCAGTGCCGGTGCAGTGGGCTGCAGTAGGGTGTGATGGTGGCAGCCTCTAATCCTAGCACTCGGGAGCCAGAAGCAAGAGGATCTAGGAGTTCAAGAATAGCTAGTCTACAAAGTGAGTTCCAGGAGAGGCGGGCCTTCATGGAGAAAACCTGTCTCAAAAAACAAAACAAAAAAATCTGGTCTTCCTAGTGTGCACTCTGTCTGCCTGGCTTGCTGTAAGTGAACAAACAAAACAACCCACTACCAAGAGGGCTTAATTCCAGCTGACCCACCATCAGGCCAGTCTGGCTATGTGACAGGCTTTATTCTTAACTTTGCCTGACTAGTCTTGAGTTTTGGTTTTGGTTTCCAAAAAGAGAAATCAGAGGGAAAGGGCAGCCAATCAGATCATCCCCAATGTCTGGCTGGGCCAAAAATCATAGCTACTTGGGAAAGTCCCTAAGCCCCTGGCCAATCAGGATTGGCCCTGTACCCCTTGACTGGCTGCCCACCAATCAAGGTAAAGTTTGCCTACTCATCCCTGGAGTTCCCCTGACTTCTATAAATACGGCCTGTGTCAAGGTGGAGACCCCATCATGCTGGAGTTCTGCAGAAAGTAAAGGTTCTCTGCTGTTTGCATACTAGGTGAGTCTGGGATCAGTGAGATTTGGACCCTAACACTATCATCCAAGATTATTCACCATACTGACATCCCTGAAGATGCAGGCATGTCCAAATGCCATCCTTGGGTATTGGTAAGAACAGCTAAGGATTCTGCCAAACATAAAAACTGTAAGCTCAAAATATTAAGAGCTTTGTGTTACAATTTATTTATCTGTAACTCAGTTGCTCAGTTCGTTGCCTTGAACTTTGTAGTGGACAAGGTTGTGTTATGTCAAAAGGTTGGCTCTGGAATGAAGGTAGACATGCCTTATGCTCACTAGATATAAGAAATCGTCTCAGGGAATCCTATTCCAAGCATTGAAGCTTCCTTAACTAGTTCTTCCATGCCTGTCATCACAGTAGTCATTTTCTTTGTTGGGTTTGTTACTGCTAAGGTTTCAGCCAGATGATCCTAGAGGTGAGTGACCCTTTGGTTTGAAGCAGCCACACTTCGGGGTGGGTGACTAGAGCCATTGGGGTACACAGGTAATACAGACACTTGTCATTCACTGTTCTCTGGTTTCTTCTCCATGACTGCCATGTCTAATGCTCTAAGGACACAAGGTCCCTGAAAGTAAGGTGCTGAGCACAGTGCCGTGAGGAGAGTAGCTAGTCAGATTTCACACACGGCTCCTCTTGATGGTGAGGATGGTGTTACAGGAAAGTGGGGACATGTGATGTACTGTCAGTCAGCTCTCTGGGGAGAAAAACAAAAGCTCTGATAGGAAGTGTGCGCCGGTTTCCATCTCATAAATGCTGCTACCACTGTCAATTCCACTCTGTGACATGACCCCCTGGAACTTGGAAATACCAACCTCCCTCGGGCATTTGAACACCTTGGAGCCAAGACAGTAGGAAAAACCTGTTCAGTTCCATGATTGAAACAGTAGCAACAGTAACTGTGTCTCCATCCAGATTATCCCACACACCCTATGCTCTTAATCAGTCATCACTCTGTAGACACCTAAGACATGAAAAGGAAAGCAAGCCCTCAAAAACGAGTGATCCGTAAGCAACAGGAACAAGGCCCATTCCAGGCAGCCATCCAGATACATATGTCTTGACTACTCTGGCTTCTGGGGAGAAGGTCATGTTTTATGGTGTTTTTCATTAAAGCTTGTCCGTAAAACCTCATTAACCTCATTATGAGGCTGTGAGGAAGACCTAATGACTTTTCTCTGCTTGGGTTTGTATTGGTTTCCTATTCTGTTCTAGTCAGTTACTTAAACCTAATGGCTTAGAACACAAATGTATTCTAATTCTGGAGAAATGGCTCCTGTAGGGATGCTAGCTCCTTTCAAGGATGCTAGGGAAGACTCATTCTATCTCCAGCAGTACTTTTCTTGTTGCTGTGACAGAGTGCTTGGCAGAAGGAAGGAATGAGAGGTTTGTTTGGGCTCAGGGTTTCAAGGGACACAGAGAAGGTGTGATGACTGGCCACTCAGCAGCAGTGGAATCATGAGGACAGAAGCTCTTTGCATCCTGACAGATCAGATAGCAGAGTGTAGAGGAACCAGAAGTGGATGCCTTGAAAGCCTGCTCCCAAAGACTCACTTCCATTAGCTAAATCACAGACTTTGCACAACTTTCCCAAACAGCACTACCTTCTGGACACCAACTATTCAAACAAATGAGTTTTCAGCTCAGGGCAGGGTGTGGCTGGGTCTGTATCTCTGTGTGGCTGCTGTCATACCTCTGCCTCCTTGTAATGAATTAATGACTTTTGGGATTACGTTGAGCTCATCCAGATAATCTAGAATAATCTCCCTATTTCAGGATCCTTAATCTGAAATCCCCTTTTGTTTTGCACAATAATATATTCCTGGATCTTTGGATATTATACACATTTGGAAGGGACCATTGTTCAGCCTACTTTAGATTAAAACAATTTTTTTGAGGGGCGAGGCTGCGGTGAAAATGAAGTAATATCCATGGGATATTAGACGCCTTTTCTTCATGTAGTGCTAAAAGTAAGTTTCCTGAAATTGAACGGATATGTGCCACTGCCCTTCAAGCTCTGCTTCCTCTCCCATTTTGGTGCAGTCAGCCTGCAATGCCAACCAGCAGAACAGCCGGGAGCGAGACATACTTGAGGCAGCTGTGAATGCCACAAGAACAGACTCTGAGGACACAGCTTCACTGAGACAGCTCATTTTATTGGGTGTGTGTTGGGGGGTATGACAAAGGCCACTTAAACCTGTGGAGTTGGGTAGGGGTTTGGACACACCTCAACCCCACTCTTGCTCTGGCCAGTTTTCCCAGGTCCCATGGCTTCCTGTTTCCGTATACTATACACATCAACATGAGTGGAATCACAGTGTAGAAAAAGGTCAGTTATCATATATCGATGGAAGGTCTGGTCCAGAAGGGCTCCAGTATGTGATACTTCCTAGAGAAGCCCTAGAAATGTGGTTTCCTCCAAGTGTGCCAGAGAGTCTAAGTCTCTGTCATTGCTAAATTACATTCAGGTATCACCTGTTAACAAAGTTTCAAAAACAAATGGGTAGGGCACACTATGTCATGGAAGTGGGAGATGAAGTCTAAGTACTCAAACCCAATCCTAACGCTGCAGCACAAAATACGAAATGGGCAGCAGTAATGCTGGTAATCTGTAAATTACACTTATCTACCTGACCTGAGAGGGCAAATTTCCTAAAAAGTTATGTTATAGGCACGTAAGTTACACACTATAGGGAAATTTGGATAAAGATGCCATTTGTATTTACTCATCTTTAAGGATGTCTTACTCTGAACATGCTTGTTTTAAAACATGCTCTTTTGTGTGTGTGTGTGTGTGTGTGTTTAAAAACCTCAGAAGAGGGCTGAAGAAATGCCTTTGATACAAGATGAGGACCCGAGTCTGATCCCTAGAACTCATATTAAAACACTAGGGTGGTGGTGCATACTTGTCAGAGGAATGCTCTAAGAAAAATAGACGGCAACTAAGAAAACCACCTGAAGCCGGGTGTGGTGGCTCACGCCTGTAATCCCAGCACTCAGCGTGAGTTCAAGGCCAGACAGCCAGAACTATTACACCAAGAAACCCGGTCTGGAAAAACCAAAGCCGAAAGAGAAACAGAAAAAGAAAAGTCTCTGACCTTCACATGTACATGTGTGCACAAGCCCACATAACACCCGTGAGAATGCCTGATTCTGTCTGCGGTACGCTCGTTTTTCAGTCGCACTGGGTGTTCACAAAGGCCTGAGTTTGTATTCCTAACTGGCGAAGAAAGGCCAAACTTTGAGTCTACCTGTTTAGAGATCCTGAGCAGGAACTCTCTGCAGACCGGTGGCTAATCACCTGGAAGCACTCTTTTACTAAAGCCTTATGAGACAGGCTACAAATTAAATCCCATTTTATTAAAGGAGAGGGGCCAGTGAACCAAGAGCTGCTGTGCTAAAGGATAATCAGGGATGGAAGTGAGGGGCACACTGAAAAGCATGTGACCATCTTCCTGCTCACTGTGGAGGTCCTCTGGGAATTCCCCCAGCCTCTCTCTGGCCTGCTTTGGAATAAAGAGCTCACGACTTAAGCAAGTTTAGTTTCCTTTTCTGGAAAAATTGGATAACAACTGAATTTACCTAATGAAGTTGTATGGGTTGATTTTATTTGTCTAAATAAAATGCTTAGGGAAGCATGAAGTAATAGATCAGTATGACAAGTTTTAAGAATTGATATTTATGGGCTGGAGAAGAGGACCCTGGTTGAATTCCTGGCACCCATATGGCAGCTTATGCCTGCCTGTAAGTCCAGTTCCAGGGGCTATGACAGCCCACATAGATGTATATGTAGGCAAAGCACCAATGCACATAAAAAAAAAAAACAAAACCTGAAGATGAAAAAGATATTTACATCAGGATAACCAACAGGATAAAATATAATGGTATTAAGGTAAAAATACAAGCACAACACTGTTGCAGGATTTTGGTGCCATTGTGAACCCCAAAATTGTGAACTGTAAAACACTATTTCTAGTTTGGTGTGGTTGAACCCTACCACACACCTTTAATACAAAAACTTTCTATTTATTGTAAACAGGTGATTATGGTGTGGTTCACCAGCCCTTGCACACACCTTTAATCCAAGAGCTTTCTGTACACAGGATTTAATAAAGTTAACCCTAGGTCAAGAGGTGGAGCAAGAAAGCAGCTGACAGGGATTAAAGAGGAGGAGGGACTTAGAGTTGAGGGGTAGTTAAGAAGGTGTGGAGAAGGGGCTATTTAAGCTTTGGCCTGTTGGCTTTAGCTCTTTTGCTTAGACATAGGTTTTAGCTCTCTGGCTTTTCCAGACTTTGGGGCCTTGAGCTAGCAAGCCTCTGGCCTTGGGTTTTTTGGCCTTTCCGTCCTGGGTTGTCAGCTGAGCTAGTGAGACTTTTGGGCTTTTTCCATCGGGACCTGAGCTGAGAAGGAAGGTCAGCTGGGTGCTTTCTCTGCCTCTCTGAGCTAGCAGATTTTCACCCCAGCATTTGGCCCCTGTGTCCTTATTGGTAAGATAGCATGGTTGGGATTTCCATTTTTTAAATAGCACATAACAAATTTTAAGAAGCACCTATCTACTAATAGTAAATGTGACTATATAAGAGTGAAAATTAAGTTAAACTCTTCTAAGGGAAGGGTAAAGAACGAAGTTATGTGTGACAGACAGAGCTAATATGCTCTTGCTGAGGACTGAGCTCTGTCACAACACTCACTGTGGGTGTGCATACCCAGCCTCAGGGGAGCTCACGCCTCCAGCCTCCTAAAGCGCCTGAACCCAAGCGCATGTGCACACACACACACGTACACAACATGAAAAATAAATCTTTCTTTTAAAGGTCAAGTTTTTGAGAAAAAAAATTGAATATACCAGAGAAAATACTCAATAGGTCACGAAATAAAAGTAAAAAGGAAGTTGTGTTTTTCCTTTATGAAAACTGCAAAGAAACTACAATTTATTTCTATATTTGTATGTGGATGCCCTATTTATGTATTTATATACAGGACCCCCACATTAATGCTTGTCTCTGATTCTAGGATTCTAGGCACAGGCCACCGCACCTGTCTTGGATGTCTAATTATATGTACACATAATGTCTAATGTTGTTCAGCATGTGTGGACACATGCTGCTGACAGAATGTATATTGTTTTCATTCTTCCACCATTCAGTTAACAACTTGAGCAGAGGACAGTTTGAAAATATGTCAAAAATCGTCAAGATGTCCATGAAATGGATCTTTAAAAAATGTCCACTTGGTCTACAAAGTGAGTCTAGGACAGTCAAGGCTACACAGAGAAACTGTCTTGAAAAACAAAACAAAAAAGTCCACCTAGCCCAAACCATTTTATCCTTTTCCTTTTAAAATTTATTTACTCTTTGAAAGTTTCACACACACACACCCTCACTGACCCCTCCAACTCCCCCTGAACCTCAGTATGTCCCCTTCCCTCCTTCATGTTCTCTCCTTCAGTAACCCACAATTAGTGTCATCCACATGCACATGAGTGTGAAGCATGCACAACCTACCAGGGACAATATCCCCAAAGAAAATGACTCTTTCCCCATCAGCTGTCAGTTCTCAACAGCTTCTCTGCTAAGGGTCTGGCCTCATGCACATCGCCCCTGTCCATTGTGGAATTCTGACTGACAAAGAGCTCTGTCCTGAGAGCTCACTGCACTTCTTTAGACCAAGTCTTTTGACTGTGTCAGGCATAGATATATATTTTATATATAATGAAAGACCCCAGCCTCACACTAAGTTAAACATAGCTAATGCCATTTTGTGAGACACCACTGTTTTGTAAAACTCTGAAGGCCAGATGAGAAACTGAAAAATTACTGAAAAATCCTAGCTGTGTCACCCACTTGGGATATCTGTGGTCAGGCTGCCCCAGTCATACTAAAAACAGTTTGTGTTAATCACTCTCATAGATATCTGTGAGACTGTTTCAGCTAAGATAGGGAAAAACAAAATAACAGGTGGCGGGCCACGTCAAGGGGTCATCCTACCCCCCTTGACCACCCAGTTCCTAGAATCTGGGTGCCCCTGCCAAACTTTGACGCAAATTGTGGTCTCGTGTAAACGTACCAATCAGCCCCCTGTAACCATGCCCTCTCGCTTCTGTACCAGTGCTTCTGCCTCTAAAACCCTATAAAAACCCCAGCTTCCCATCTAGGGGGCGCGCAAGGTTCCCTCGAGTGACCTTGCTGCCCCGAGTACTCGTGAATCAAAATAAAAGCCTCTTGCTGTTTGCATCCGAATGGACTCGTTGTTCTTTGGGAGGGGGTCTCTCTGACGGAAGATACCCTCCGGGGATCTTTCAATATATAAATAAATTATATATATATATATATATATAAAATTTCAGTTTATTTGCTTTACATCCCAAGGGTGCTCCCTCCCTCCTTTCCTCCCAGTCTTAAAGTAAGAACATTTGAGCCAGTTGTGGTGGTGTATGCTTGTATCTTAGGAGAATCAAGAGTTTCAAGTCCATAGTCAAGTAAAGGCCTGCTGTCTTGTATAAGCCATTTCTCCCTCCACTTCACCCCCCCTTCAAAACAAATCAAACTATCATTTTTTCAAGTGTTAAAACTGGCAACAGCTCATATTTCCAAGATAAAAGTTATGCTTAAAATACCTAGTTTTCTTATGTAATATCTTCAAGGAATATTTAATTAATTTTTAATTATTAAATATTAATACTAAATACTTAATAATTAAATCTCAGACAAAAAATTAAAGGCAAACAAAAGTACTGTAACTTAGTGGTGGCTCATGCCTTGGATCCCAGCAGGCAGGCAGAGGCAGGCAGATCTGCGTTCAAGGCCAGCGACTACACAGAGAAACCCTGTCTCAAAAAACCCAACCAACCAACCAACCAACCCCCCCCCCAAAAAAAAAAAAAAAAAAAAAACTTCATTAAAAGCAAATGGAGCCGGGTACGGTGCCCTGAGCCTTCAATTCCAGCACTGTGGAAGCAGAGGCAGGCAGACCTTTCCGCGCTCCAGACCAGCGGTCAGGACCTCAGGAGTGAGTCACACCCCTGGCCCCTGCACGCCTTGTCCTCGCCGATTCTGCCCCCGGACACAATTTTAAAGAACTTGGGGAGTCAGTTGAGTAGGACAACTCGATCACTGAGTGCCTGGCCCCCTCTGTCACACCTGGTTTTCTCGGGTCTCACGTTAGTGGTCGTACACTCGCTTGTCTGGACCTCTTACGGTGCAGTTTTAATGCTTCCTCGTGAAATGGAGGCCAGGGCGGCTCCGCACACGGACAGGTCCGCAGCCCGGTCACTCTTCTCGCGTCAGGGCCGCCTGTGTTCCGCCTGCAGGGCCTTCGCCGTCCCTGAGGGAGTGTTTCCCTAAAGTGTACCGTTTACAGATCCTGGCAACTTTTCACAACAGGGACGCTAGTAGATCCGTGGACCCTTTCAACTAAAAAGGTGTTATTTTGAGCAAAGCAACATTAAAATTAGAAAGTCGACCTTGACATTTAGCTGTGATCCTTTTCAATTAGGCCTTTGTAACTTTCAACCCAACTATAACGGGTAAAAAAGGAGTGCGCACATCGAGCCAGCCAGGAGTCGAACCTAGAATCTTCTGATCCGTAGTCAGACGCGTTATCCATTGCGCCACTGGCCCGGTGCTGGCGGAGGGCTCTCCTCCATGGCTGATCTCCGATTGCGCGGTTTCAACGCGCTTCCCGTTGAACACTCCCGTGGTTCGCTGAGCCGCTCAGCTCGGCGCCGCCGCCGGGGCTCCGCCTGCCGCGCGCGTCCCACCATTCCCAGGGGCGACGTCACGGCGCTCTTTGGCCTTCTCCAGTCCGCGCGGCGGGGGCGCGGCCCGCAGGCCCGGCGGGCGCACTGGTTTGTCCGCCGCCGGCTCCCGTGCTCCGCTGAGAGGCGGTCCCGGGAGGGGTGGGGCCGGGCGGAGGCTCCTCGGCGGCGGCACCCGGAGAGCGGCGGCGCGCGAGCCGCGGCGGCGTCGGGGTCGCTGTGGGTGGAGCGGAGCGGAAGGACGGCGGTGTCGGTGCGCGATGGCGGCGGCGGCCTACGAGCAGCTGAAGCTGTGAGTCCGCCGGCTGGAGGGGCCGAGGGCGACGGAGGCCCGGGCGTGTGGCCCGCGCCGGCCACGCCCGCCGGCGGGGCTTCCGTCCGGCCTGGCCGCCGCGAGGGCCCGCTGCCCCGCAGCCTCGCCGGCCGCCGGGCCTGGCGCAGCGAGCGGTGCGGGAGCCCGGGGCCCCGGGAGAGGCTGCAGCCAGCCTCCCCTGTGTGGCCTCTCGGAGAGGCCTTTCTGACTCGGCGTCCGCCGGCAGAGCAGACCTCCCTCTTGGTCTCGGGCTTTCTGGGCCCGGGAGCCGCTATGACGAGGCCTTCTTGGGGTGCAGCAGAAATTTAGGCAGTCGTCCGAAGGGCTGGTCGAATTTACTGTGCGTATTTCAGCAGACTGCGTTGACAGCGAGAGGCTCGCCTCTAATTTTGGCACAGCAAAATTGGCTTTTTAAGGAGATCCCAGGTGCTGGGATTGGAGACCCAGCCTCTGGTTGTTTAGCGAGCATAAAATAGACATTTACAAGCTCTTTGGCTCGCCCTGGGTTAAAAGGCGGGGGGCTATTTCTCTGCTGTAACCCCTCAACGCTTTCACTCTTTCTTGTCGGGGAATAACTTCTCCTTAATCGCTTTAATAATTTGCCTCGAGAGTGAAAGTCACGGACCATAGTTTGGGAATGCGTTTAGTAGAAGAAGCACATATAACTTTGAAAAGCTAAGTTAAAATATCCTGTTACATAGGCATCCCAATTCGTTTGCAGAGAAACAGATGTCGTTTGGATGTTCCTTATGAATAACTGAAAAGTACAGTCCAGAATTAGAAGGGAGGCCATCTAAAGCGTTGGGTTTTTCTTCAGTTCTTTGTGCCTCTTCCACGGATTCAGTCCTTGAGAACCCCACCTGCACACTGGCCTCCACATTTCTTCCTTTAACCATTTTTCCTTTGCAAAGTGAGCAATCACCTCATTGGTGACAGTTGAAGCAAAAGTGTTTTGGTCTTTGTTGGGCCAGAGTCACATGTGCTTTACTGGCAAATAGGTTATTGTCCACCTGATAGCTGTTGAAGGGCTGAATACGATCCTGTACTAGGTCTCAGGTGTGTTTAAGCGATTTGGAGACTTGGCTTGAAACAGCTCCGCTTTAGGTTACCGTATGTCATTGAGTTTTCCTGCAGCTGAGAATGACTGAGATGGATAACTTGAGAATTAGATTTTTTTTTTCAAAATATGAATGTTCATACTTCACCCTCACCGTCCTCTCTAGTCCAGGCTTCAATACAGGCAGACACCACTGTGAATGTGTACGTAAAAGAGAAGGGAAGTTTATCCTTAAGTGTGAAGATAGTACTTCATTGCAACTTTTTGTTTTTAAGCAAGGGATTTGTGAGTTAGAACCTGTTTTCACCCCTTCTTTTTAGCCTTCCTATTTTAAACTTTTATATATAACCTTTGATCAGAGAATATTCTGTTTGAGATCTTTGTAGGTTGAATTAGTTGCTGACTTATCTACGAATGGTGGGATATAGTAGCCACTTTTTAAAAATGCCTAAAAGGAGCCATATGAAAAGTTACTTTCCTGGGCGGTGGTGACGCTTACCTTTAACCCCAGTACTGAGGAGGCAGAGGCACTGGGAGAGGCAGGGGCAGAGGCCAGCCTGATTGACAGAGTGAATTCCAGAACAGCCAGGACTCCGGAGAGAAACCCTGTCTTGGAGAGGAAAGAAAGAAAATAAAGTTACTTTATTATAGATGTATTGGTATATAACTTATCTAAATATTGAAGTGCTTGGCTGTTAAATAACCTTTGGATATTATGTCATACATCTGCAGAGTAAATGAACCTTTTAGTATAGACTGCCTCATGAAGAACCGAGCGGGATAATTTGGTATGTGAAGCATACCAAATTGAAGCATCAGAGGCCCAAGTCCCTTCGTGTATATGTCGTCAGTGCCTCTGTGAAGTCATAGGTGGATATTTGGTCTGCTCTCGCTGAAGAATGTTGCGTGGTGTCCTGGTCAAATAAGTTACATACTAAGCATGGCAGAGTCAACCTGGGAACCCAGTTGGCCAAGACTCTTAACTGATCTTTCCATTACAGTGCAGTATTCAAATGACCTCTTATCAGATTGCGCTCTCCTCAGTCTGAACAGCCAGGTGTAAAGACTGAGTTACTTGTAAGAGAAAATAGTGGACACATGCATATGGGCTTTCATATAAAAAACAGAATTTAGGTGCAGACAGAACACTGTATACATAATTAACAAACAATTCTTTTAAAAAAGCTGCTTAAAAAATGTAATATCTTAACTATCTTTATGTATTCAATTCTTGGCAAAACTACAACTCTACCCATTAACTGACTCTCTCTTCCTCCATCCCTTCCCATCCACCATTCCCTGGTCCTGAGGATTTAACTTGTTCCAGATGCCTCATTTAAAGGGACCTAGGATTTTTCCCTCTCGTGACTGATTTATTTCCTTCCTGTAGGCCTTCAGAGTTCAACCATCTTGTAGCAAGTGTCAGGCTTTTCTTTCTCAGGGCTGACTAACCATTAGTGATGGATAGTCCTGTCTTGCACTGCAGTGGGAACACATTGTGTGAAATGCACCCTTAGACAAGTTTCATCACTCTGTGAGTAACAGGATGTGCTTTTTGCAGATGAAGTGGTGTACCCTATTACATGCTTAGACCATAGGGCCTCTACTAATGTACATACAATGCATACTTAACCAGAGTGCTATGCAGTGTGCCCATGTGGCAGTGCTTGTCATCCCGGCACTTGGGAGGAGGGGAGGAAGAGAGTGTCAGGAGCCTGAGGCTAGCCTCAGTTATTTACCCATGGTGAGATCCCATCTCACAACAACAGTAAATAAATAAAACAAAAATGTTACTTAGTGCATGGCTGCCGTGTACCACATTTATCCAGTGATGGGCATTTAGATGAGTTGCACATTTTTGGCTATTGTGACTTAAGCTGTTTTAAATGTGGTGATTCTTCTTTTAGTTTTCTTGTTTGTTTTGTTTTGTTTTTTGAGGCAGGGTCGTTCTGAGTATCCTTGGCTGTCCTGGAACTCACTCTGTAGAGCAGGCTGACCTTGAATTCAAGAGTTCTGCCTCCTGAGTGCTGGGATTAACAGTATGCGCTACCACCACCTAACTTCTTTTAGATATTTTTTAATTAAATTTTTATTTTTTATATATTAATTACAGTTTATTCATTTTGTATCTCATCTTTTAGATATTTTTAAGACATACACAAAAATAGAATTGCTGCCAGACATGGTGAGCATGCCTCTAACCCAGTACTAGTGAAGCAGAGGCAGACATATCTGTATAAGTTAGAGGCAAGCTTGGTCTACAAAACAAGTTCCAGGAAGCCAGAGTGCCATAGTGAGACTACAAAAAAAAAAAAAAAAAAAGGTCAAATGACAATTGTAATTCTAGATTTTTGAAAAGCAGACATTGGCTGCACCATTTTATTGTGCTACTAGGAATTCACCAGGGTTCTAATTTTGTGACATTGTTTTCTCTTGGCAGTTACCATTTTGAGAGGTGAGAAATTGACTGACAGTAATGCATACACACACATTTAAAAAATTAACAGTTAAAAAGATGCAACAGAAAGAAGCATTTACTTAGTGTGCGAAGGGGCAGCAGGTTGGGCAGTAACAAGCACTGCCTACAGCCTCGTTGTGATTTGACAGGACTTTGAAGAGGTCAGTTGTGGCCTGAAATAAGGTATGGATGTTGCACAGAATGTAGAATTATAATTTCAGATACTGGAAATTCAGAGTGGAAGAAAATGATGGTGTTTGATCTTATAATGTTATGTAATACGTCATTTTTCTTTAACAAGAACAATACATTTAACCTCTAAAGACTTTTTTTTGGCAATAAATTTTTCCATCAATTTTTGATCATGAAAAACTTTTACACTGCAACATTTTTACTTGACAACTTTGTAATCAAGGAGTTTTTTTTTTTTTTTTTTTTTAATTGTTAAAAAAATGTTAGTGTAAGTTAAGTTTACAGTCTTGTGTTGGGTCACTTAGTAGCTAGCTACGTTGAGATAGTGTGGGTCACAGACCTGTTAGAATCTTTATCTTGGTTTCAATGAAGTCTATCAGTTCTATGTATTTGTTATTTGAGAGTGCAGTATAACCTGTTGATAGGTTAATTTTGAAAGTTTCCTGGTAGAAAGTGGCTTCAGTGATACTTTATTAAAATTAAATTTCTCATCTGAGAACATACTACTCTCCCTAAATCAGATTTGAAATTTGACCTGTCAAATTATGGTACCAAAAGGAAGAGAGAGAGATAGATAGAGGAAGGGGAAGGGAAGAGAAAAGAAAGAAGGAAAAAAGGAGTAGACTGTCTCAGATCTGGAGCTCGCTGTCAGCTTTGTCCTAAATGTCCTAGAAGTCTGCTTTAGTTCACAATTTGATTTCTGAGTATATTAAATGATCATTGTTATATTACTAGTGACATTTTTCTTGGCTAGAATAAAAGAAAATAATATTTAAAATTGTTTACTCTGATCTGGAGAGATGGCTCAGAGGTTAAGAGCACTCACCGGCTGGCTGACCTTTCCAAAGGTCCTGAGTTCAATTCCCAGCAACCACATACGATGGCTCAGAACCATCATATAATGAGATATAGTGACCTCTTCTGGTGTGTAGACATATATGCAGGCAGAATATTTATAAATAGAAAATAAATAATACAAAAAAACTAAAAAGAAATTGTTCACTGTCACTAAGACAATTGAAAACATTAGCAAGAACCTCATGAAAGATAATGCAGATTTTTGCTGACTAAACATCCCCTCCTCCCCCAAAGGATTGAGCTTTCACTTCTTGTATGAGAAAAACCAAGGCAGATAGATAAGGCCAATATCTGTCTACAGAGAGCGGCCACTGGTGAAGATTTAAAAGCAAATGGCAGTAAAACCACGCACGTCAGCAAAAAATTGCATCACAGAATATAGTTATTTTTACTGTAAGTACTTACTTTTTAAAA